AAAAGAGAACAAACAGAGAGGCGCGCTGCAGCCTCATAAAGGAGCGGCTAAAATCATAATAACAAAATGAATAATTCAGCAGCGAATGGGGGAAAGGTTCAGTTCACTATAATGAGCGTTTTTGTGAGGTCGTAGTTTTGTAACCTAAGCAGGCCTTTGAGCGTGTGGCTGTGTGTGAGTCGGAGAGATACTGCTGATTCAGTGGGGATGGATGAAGGTGACCCTCTGCTGCTCCTGCCGCCTGTCTCTCCTCCTCATATTGATCCCAGTTGTCCAACTCAGATCTCACTCAAGGATACACTCATTGCCTCCTTGACATTTCAAATACGACGGTGTGAAAGCTGTAACTCCATGCCTGGTCATTGAGGAGTTGCTGATCTCCCAGCTAAGTTAGAGTAAACCACAAAATGCAGTTCAGTTGATCAAATTTTAGAGTGCATTCACACCAGCCCTGTTTTGATTTGCTTCAATAAAACTTTAGTTTGTTTCTCTAGAAAGTCTGGTTTGTTTGGTGTGAACTCTGTGTCGAACTCTGGTCTGCCTACAAACTTCAATCTTTGTTTGGTTGAAGTGAACTCTGATTCGGTTTGAATGCATATGTGTATGCAAAGAGGACCACAGAAGCTCCAAAAGCAGGAAGTGGACTATAGTGTAGGGCATTCTGGGTAAATATAACCAAAACAAACATGATAATCCAGGGTGAGCGTGAGAAATGGTTTGTAGTCTTTTCCCACTATCACTAAAATCTGATGCTAATTTTTGTTTACTTTTTGTGAAGAAGAAAGTTGCTCTATGTCTTCTTCAGAAGTTTTCATGTCGTTTCCTTTAGTAGTTCTTGGTTCAGCGCCCCCAGTGGCGAGGAGGGGAACATGTTTTTCATTTAGTTTGGATCGTTTGACTCAGTGCAGCGTGAAAGCGAACCACAGTGCCTGAAATTGTCACAAGTGTTGCCGTTTTGGTCCTTCATCAGACCAAGTGTACCAAACTATTGAGTGCAAAAACACCCTTAATTTGGTTTGGTTGATCAAAACTTAGGATGCATTCACACCAGCCCTGTTTAGTCCACTTTAATCAAACTCTAGTTCATTTGTCTCAAAAGTCTGGTTCGTTTGGTGAGGTGTGAATGTGCAATCAAACTCTGGTCTACCTAAAAACTTCAACTAGGGCTTGGTTGAAGTGAACTCTGGTGCAGTTCGAATAAGCGGACAAAAGACCGCTCCAAAAGGAGGAGGCAAACTATGGCACAAGGCATTCTGGGTAAATATAACCAAAACAAACATGATAGTCCTGCTCTAGAGGGAGAAATGGCTTGTGTTTTTTACCCAAAGACAAAGGAGAAATCCTACAACTGCTCATATCTGATGCTACTCCATTTTGTTTGCATTTTGTGAAGAAAGAAGTTGCGCTCTTGTCGTTTTCAGAGGGTTTCAAGTCATTTCCTTCAGTAGTTCTTGGTGCAGCGCCCCCACAGGTGAGGAGGGAAACAGGTTTTTCAGTTAGTTTGGGTCGTGTGACACAGTCCAGTGTGAAAGCGAACCACAGCGGCTGAAAATGTAACAAACATTCCCAAATCGAACTCAGTCTACTAGATTTTCAGGTGTGAAAACACCTTTAATCTGTAAATATGCAAGCACATGGCGCCACACTTCTGGCTCCGATGTGTTGTTGTTTTCATACCAGACTGCACACAAACAGTTGAGAACTAAGAATAGAGCAGGCTACAACTGCAGCATTCAAATGCAGTGGCTGGGAGCAAAGGTTTGGACCACATATGGGAGAATGTGCCTGCGTAGACCTGCACCGTCAAGGGTAAACTACCACACACACACACACACCCACACGCTTTCACCTCACCTCAAAACAGCAGCATGAATATGCATGATGCCGAAGGACGCAGGAGAAACATAATTAGACAATCAACAACTCCCAGATGACACGCATTACTACGACAGACGGGATGTGCCCCTCACTTCATCCTCCCCTCTTGTTAGCAGTAAAAAGCCGAGTCGTGCTCATACGTCAACATGAATTCCCACTTACTAGTGGCTCAAACTTGGGCAGGGAGCTGGAACGAAGCAGAAAACAAACCGAATAAAAGCCAGAGGTTCGGCACAGCGAAGGATGGGAGCCGCATGGGAAGACAACCCAACATGAAATGTAACTCCTCCTCAAATTAATTACAGAATTAATGCTTCAGATTCAGAGCAGACACTTTGAAATGAACCAAGACACACCTTAAAAAACAGACAGCCACACACACACATACACACACACCTCTCACCCTCACACTGCTGCAAGGCACTCTGGTGCACGCTCCAGTTCACGTGCACGCTCCTGTGCACGCACGCACACCTGGCTGCGAAGTACACAGTATACATTTGAATGTGTGAGTTATTGCTGGTAAAATGGGAGCAGGTGTGCCGAACAAAGGCTTCTGTTTAGATTTCATTAAACCAATTTGTGGAGGAGATTGGAAATTTAAAACAAATCCGGGAACGGGATCAGGGAAGTCGCAGAAGCTTCTTAAGCTTTCAGATGGACTAACAGAACCAGCGACTCGGCCGAGCCGCTTCCTGCGCACCTCGTAGCGACACTCCATCACATTATTAAAGGTAGTTTTCTGCATATTTTTAGCATTTGGTTATCTTTAATTTAGCGTCAACCACTGTAGTTACTCTAAATCAGCTGTTTTAAATTCTTTTTACCTTTCTCTGATTATTGTTTTACTTAAATGTACATTAACATTTTTATTTAATTTTACAATTTTCAGAAAAGATATTACTTTCAAAAATAATTTAAGGCTTAGTTATCATTGTTGTTGTTATATGGTTCATATGTACCAATAAAGCATTTATACTGTTTCCATGTATTTTAACACATAATGTTCCTTTCCTTTTTTAGAAAATTTAAACAAAAGTTCATCTCACCAAACTGGAATATTACCAGAAATTTCCTTCTGATGGGGTTCGTTCGTCAGATTAAAAATACCTCTAAGCAGGTATTAAACACAGCTTTCATTAAGCCGACATTTCTGTACTGAAATGTTTTTTTTTATTGGTCTGATGTAATATTTTAATCTCCTAAAAACAGAAATAAAAGCTTAAAAACAGGAGTTTTTGTGGAACAAATCTACATGTTTCACTTAATCAAACAACTGAACTTTTCTATTATATTTAGACGACCAAGTAAATGTGATTTTTAAAACAGAAATATCAATTTATATTGAAAAGTTTGTACATGCACTGACCAGTAAATACGCTTATGCTTAAATTATTTCACCATTCTCACTGAACTGCAGGTCAGATAAGTGAACAAGCCGATCAGCTAAAGCAATATCATGATTATTTAGTTATCTAACAAACTACTCCTTTTGCTTGTGAACTTTTTAGCTTTACCACACTTTTTCCTTCCATTGAACTTTCCATATATTTAATATACAACTCAGATTACCAAGTTTTCAGTTTATTCAGGTCATTTATATAAAATGACCTGGGATAAAAAGAGATTTAGCTGGATGGCAGGACAAGAAGAGGGAAGTATCACTACTATTAATAATAATATTGTCCCTTGGTGGGGTCAGGAGGTGCTGGTGCCTGTCTCCAGCTAATGTTCTGGGCGACAGGCGAGGTTATCCTGGACAGGTTGCCAATCTGTTGCAGGGCAACACAGAGACAGACAACCATGCGCACACACACACACAGGGAGAATTTAGAGAAACCAATTAACCTGACAGTCATGGTTTTGGACTGTGGGAGGAAACTGGAGCACCCAGAGAGAACCCATGCATGCACAGGGAGAACATGCAAACTCCATGCAGAAAGACCTGGGAATTGAACCCAGAACCTTCTTGCTGCAATGCAACAGCTCTACCAACTGCGCCACTGCACAGCTTTAATAATAGTTATTATTCAAAATTTTATTTTTAATGTCCTTTATATCTTGAGATCTCAAAGGGACACTACTTCTACTACGACTAATACTAATAATTTGTATGTTTTCACATACAGATGTCACATTTTAAATTGAATTTCACGTATTTTACATTTTAAGTAAAAAAATGATCAAATACAGTCCAGATTCCCATTAACAATGCAATAAAATTTTAAATCAGAAATAACCTATACTGTATTGAAGTCTTACTTATAACTTTTCCCCTAAAGGATGTGACGCCCCAACATCGTGCAGCCATGGGTGTAGAGCCATATCATCCATATCAAATTAACTTACAATGAACAAAACCGGCTACAAAAGAAACTCTCATTTCATTTTTGACTTTTTTTTATGCAAACTCACCAGACACCATGCTCCCAGTCTCACACACACACACACACACACACACACACACACACACACACACACACACACACACACACACACACACACACACACACACACACACACGCACACACGCACATACACATTTGGATTTCACACAACAGATTCTCAAATTTCTCATATTTAGGCAAAAAACAAGAGTGAAACACTGACCTGCCATGCCGTTGACACACACACATTCTCTTCAAGCAGTTCAGCCTTTCAAAGAGGATCCGTTTGAACGCGTCTATATACATTGACCCTGCTGAGGTTACAGAACAAGCCAGCACTTTAATATTTTCTCACGAATCGCTTGATTTGAAATAGAAGCAGCAGCAGCAGCAGCAGCGGGCCGAGCCTCGATAAATGCTGAGGAGACGCGATCGCCGCAGAGAAAGAGAAAGTCAGACACGATGCGCGGCTGACGGGATGTTTGGACACTACTGATGCTCTGAGAGCTCCGTGGTGATCTTGTAGAGAGGGAGAGCGCGGAGCGAGAGAGAGAGAAACAACACACACACACATTTACACACACACACACACTATCAGCCAAATCTGACAGCGCCGCTTATAATTTTATAGCAGCTGCTGCACAGTTGGGAGCAAACAGCGCGTACAGGATGGATGAGCTTGTTCAGAAGGAGCTATTTTAACTTGTGCAATTCACAGAATAATCCATTTCTTACCTCCATATTCGCTGCCCGTCGCCTCGGATGCGTTACTCTCCCAGGTCGCCCAGGTATCGAAGCGCAATTAAAGTAGAGGAAATAAGAAAAAACAAAACCACCAAGTAGGCTACTGTAAGTTTAAGGGAAGTAAAGGTGCTGTCGAACTTGTTCCCAGACGCATTGCTGCAGAAAGCCGAGCTTTGGGGGGATGAGTGCGGTCAGGTTGATGATCCTGACATGTTCTTTGAGCGCAATGACACAACAAACGAGAAGGTTATCCATGAGAAGTTGATGAGGGAGGAGGATAAAGGAGTTAAAACGCCGCCCACACCCGCCCAGTGTTTCTATCTGAGACCTACCTGCATCAGCAGCATCGCTTTCTGCTTCGGTTTTGCTTCCGGGACGAACATGCGTGAGAACGAGGTGAAAACTTGAGTTTTTCCCAAAACATGACGCACCGGGCCATGTCATCTAGAGGCGATACGAAGCCATGCTAATGTTGAATAGCTGAGAATTTAGTGCTTAAAACTGAGAAACTTACCGAACTGCAGGTGCTTCTTAATACATTGGAGCAGGGGTGTCTAAAGTGCGGCTCGGGGGCCATTTGTGGCCATTAGATTAATTTTTATGGCCCCTGACAGCAATTAAAGAATGGCACAAATGTGGTCACCCAACACTTTTAGTAGTTTCTTTTTTAGGATATTTTTTTAAGTTTAAATTTTAAATGTAATTTTTTTTCCTTGAGTTGTTGTTATTATTATTATTATTATTATTATTATTATTATTATTATTATTATTATGTAATATATATAATCCAGCATGTTTTTACTTAGAAACAGACTTTGGCATTCCCATCCATTTTATTTGGATGAATATAACAAAGGTTGTAAAATTATTTTTGTTGCTGGGAGGGAATAAACTAAAAACATTTTCTAAATGTTTTTTTTTATTTAAAAAAAAAACAACCATTCATGTTAATGTTTACATTTACCTTAATGTAAATATTAAGGTAAATTAAAAAATATTACAAGTGTTATTTATTGTTGTACCAGTTGTTCACAATAATGTTTTTTGTGATATTAAATGGAGAATTTTTTTTATTTTATTTTTGCCCTTGAATATTTTTCGGGGGCAATCATTAAACATGGTGCTGTTAACATGCTCCTTTTCAAGCATGTTAAGATTATTGTATTACAAAATATGTGTCTTTGCATTCTTTGTCCATGTGTATGATTTTATACTTCTGTTATGTTCAAAATAAATAAGACTCACCTTATAACTAGCTAATGGACAGTGTATAAATATGTTAGGAACTAAACAGTTAACACTTTATAAATCATTAATCGCATCATGCATTAATTAAATGACTAAAAGTATTGCTAAATATGGAGCCAAATCTATTCTTATTTCAACCAGAGTTGCTAAATTAAACACTACCTTGTTGTAGGTTTGCTTCACAACTTTACTTTAAAGCTCTCTTTGATATTTATATTGGAATAATAAAGTACAATGCTATATGCTAAAGAATTATGATTACAAATGTTCAATGTGCTTAAAGGTTTGTCTGAAATGTTTCATTTAAAAACTCTACATGAAATACACATCTAAACAGATTTGGCAAAGACTGGTCAGTTTTTCTCTTTCTTGTCCATTTTTATTAAATGATAAAAAACTTATTTATGACTTGTAAAGTGTCGACAGATAAAATTAGCCGTTTGTAAGAAGTCTTATTGTCAATCGGTACCAAATTAGAATATTATTAAAAAGGAATTTTATTTCTAAAAGTGAAAATTTGAAGGAATATCGAGATTAATTTATGTACAAAACTTTTATTTATGTTAACGTGGATAGTTATCGCATATAGCTAATGGAATCTGAAGAACATTTCTGAGATAATTTGAATTTTTACATACAACCAATAAAAAATGATTTGTAAAACAGAAATGTCATGTAATGGCCATGATGCAGCCCTTATAAACATGTGGAAGGTTGATGAGTTCACAGTTTTTCTGCAGAGTCGCAGACATTCCCAAAAGGAGGCAATCCGCAAAACTGCAATAGGTGTTCGGTAGTCCAAAGTTCTCTGTGACGTAATGTTTGTTGCTGAGAAATGCTGTACAAATAAACCTGCCTACGCTTGTCTTGCCACCATTATTATTGTTTGAAAAACAAAAAAGTCAGAAAAAAGAGCAGAGGGGCTCAGAATGGCAAATGGGACGTAGGCGATTCCCCACAAGATGCCGCCCTGGGTGGTTGCCCAGAAACCGCCACTGTGTAAGTGGAAAATAATTGTAAGTAGCAAAAATAAAAGCTTTAAAAGTATCAGTCTGTGTGCAGTTAATCTACATAATATGTTTCTCTTTAGGAATTGAGTTGTTGAAATAAATTAACTGTTGAAAAATATCTTAATTTATTGAAAGATTAT